AAATTTTGACAACTACCAAATATATACGACTTGTAGCTTCAGACATAAACATGGTAGGATTTTTATACGAAAAATAAGTTAGCACGATTTTAGGATGCAAATCAATCACCAAGGAAATTTTATGCACATGCTTTATCGAGGCAGTCACTTCCACACTCAATTAGTGTATGGGCTAAAAAAACCACCCCGAGATTGCCATAAAAGGCTCTCAATGTATCTTCTTGAGCAGGGGTTCAAGCGATGGGGAGTAGATAAGATCTTCTTTGCACTCAGAACTAATGAGTATCTTCTAGTAGTTCACATCTATGTCGACGACATCATCTGCGGCTCAAATTTTTCAAATAAAATGGTCAACCACTTTGTCAAACTCATGTCCTTAGAGTTCAAAGTGAATATGCTAAGCAAACTTTCATACTTTCTAGCACTTCAAGTAAAATAAGGTACCGATGGTATTTTCTTGCATCAGCATAAATATGCTAAAAACCATGTTAAGAAGTATGGTCTTGAAATGCTAAAACTCTTCACACTCCAATGGGCACTCATGTCAAAGTGTCTAAGGACGATGAAGGTACATCTGTTGACCAAACTTTTTACCGGAGTATGATTGGAAGTCTCCTTTATCTTACTGCTAGTAGACCTGACATTTGCTTTAATGTTGGCCTGTATGCTAGATATCAGGCTGATCCCAAGTAATTCCACTTGAAGACTGTTAAGCACATCATGAAATATGTCGGAGGTACATCTGGTTACAAGAATTTTTATTCAGCTGATACGAACTTAACTCGTGCAGGGTATTGTGATGCGAATAGGGCTGAGAACTTTATTTTTCCCTAAACAATAGAAAGCTCTACTAAATAAGGCCGAAGACAGAAATACAATATCCAAATACAAAACGAAACGACTGCAGAAGCAGTGAGAGAACCACACACATGTGGCCTAAAATACAACCAAACCCAAGCAACAAGAAAAAAAAAAAAGACCAAGAATCCGGTAGATAAAGCAGTAAACAATACACTGGACCTTTATCCCTCCTAACAAGAACCTTCCAACATCAAACAAACCATCACAGAGAGATAGGACCAAACAGAACCACCATTACCTACTATGCTGCAAAAAAGCTTCCCAATCATGAACTGCAACTCTGAATATGGCTGGAGGAGGTCTTCTCACCTGTTCAAACACCCAGAGATTCCTCGACTTCCAAAGCCACCATAATATATATGTTGACAATTGAATCCTAGCTTCAGAAGTTTACTTTTTGTCCATCTGGCATACCTGCCACCACCAATCCTTGAAAGTCTCATTCTCCCTTGGCCCTTCCCACCTTACTACAGCCATTTTCCAAACTGATTGAGCTAGTGTACAATGGAACATCTCTGGTGGTTGCTTCTACATAGGAACTAATCTCGTGTCATAGATTTGAAAGAAAAAAATTGTATCTCTCTCTCGACAACAAGAGCAGAATACATAGCCGCTGGGAGTTGTTGTTTTCAACTCATCTGGATGAAACAAATTCTCTCTGAGTATGGAGCCAGTGACAGAGCCACAACAGGTCTGGGGGGCCCGTGGGCCCCCTAATTTTTTTTTAAAAATCAATATATATATAATGCTAACACATGATAGGAACAGTTAGCCTAAGAGGGGGGAGCTTAGTTGGGGAATTTCCCGCTTGAAAGCATCTCACTAATGATCACATGGGTTTTGCATTACAAAGTTTGAAAAGTATGATATGTGGAACAAAGATCGAGGTTCCTTTGCCTTCTTGCTTCCCTGTACTTGTCCCTTCCTTGTTAGAGTCCTTGTTCACGCACTACGGAAAGGGAGGGCTTCCCACGCTCGAGCAGAAGTCATGCTTGCTCCTAGAAATGAGTATTAGTAAGAAGAGCGCAATCTATATAATGCTATAAAATATGTAAATAAATGCAAAAAAATGTATTTAATAATTAAAATTTATTTTCTATGTTGTTTTAATTTAAATTATTAATATAATTTATTTATTAGAAAATGTACTAACAATCCTTATATTTTTTATGTTTAGATAAGTTTTTGAAAATATTTACTCGTTCGGTTATTTGTAAATAGATTTAGTGATTTATAAAACTGCGTTTTTAGTTGGGTTGTTAAATTTTCAAATGATCATATTTTACTTTTTTTTTGTCTAATCACATTTTAAATTATATTTTTCTTTTTTAAAAAAAGTAATTTTGATACGTTCACCAACAAAAAAAGTTATGAAAAAATGTTTAATTTAATCAAATTTTCAACCAACAAAAAAAACATATTTTTCCACAAATTATAGATGTTTAACTTAAATTATAAATACATGCAATCTTATTTTATTTTTTATTTTTTTTTAAAGTTTGAGGGAGATACTGATTCTAAATATTTAAAAACTAGATGGTAAACGTATCGATATTTTTATATATAATGTTTTTACATGAAATGTGTGTTTACACTTAAACTAAAAGCACGTTATTTGACATTTAAAATTAGGCCCCCTGAATAAAATTCCTAGATCTGCACTGATTGTAGTCCCTTTGGAATTATATAATTTCTCGCATTTTATTTTAATTATCTACATTTTATTTTATTGTGTTGCTATTATTTTATTTTATATGCAAGTCTTGAATATTATCCTTATATGCTTGAGCTGACTTATAAATTGCTTGCTTTTATTTTATTTTAGTATTGCTTGCAATAGATTACAATATGGATGACTGGGTGACTGGAAAGACATTTGTGTCAAGGAGGAAAAATCAGGAGGCCTTATGAGAAGTGACAGAAGTCTCTTAGGCTTCAATGCTTTTATAAACAATATGGATATGGAAAAGCTGCCTATGCAAGGATACAGATTCACTTGGTGCAATCTCAGAGATGCAGAGGGCCTGGTGGAGGAAAAACTTGATATAGCCTTTGCCACAACAGATTGGTTGTTGGACTTTCCAAATGCCTCAGTTTCTAGTAAAGTGAGAAGTGCATCAAACCATTCAATGCTTCTCCTTAGCAAAGGAACAACTCAACCAAAGACTCCAACCAGATTTCACTTTGACAAGAGATGGCTCAACATGGAGGGTCTCAATGATATTGTCTCCTCTGCTTGGACTCAACCCACTTCAGGGACCCCATTTTTCAAACTCAAGGAAAAAGTGAAGAATACTAGGGCTGCCCTCCTCATTTGGAGCTCAAAATTCAAGACCAGCAACCAGCAAACAATTGAAGTGCTCATTAAGAAGCTTGAGGTGCTGAAAGAAGAAAAAGAAGATGATTATTGGGTTCAATGGAACAACACAAGAACTGAGCTAAATGCAGCCCATAGACATGAAGAACTACACTGGCAACAAAGATAAAAATTGAAATGGCTCAAAGATGGTGATGGTAATACCAAGTTTTTTCATGCATACTCTCCATCAAAGGAAGCTAAATGCAATCTCAAGGCTCTTAAATCCTAATGGATCTGTGCTTTCAACTTAGGAAGACATTGAACATCGTATTGCTGATTTTTACTCAGACTTATTCACTTCAGAAGGGAGCTGGAATGGTGAGTCAATTATTAATCTCATCCTTCAGACAATCACTGATGATATGAATCAAAGCTTAATGAGGCCAGTTTCAGAAGGGGAGGTGAAGGCTGCTTTATTCTCCCTGCCCCCGGAGAAATCCCCAGGTGAGGATGGCATGAATGCCCTTTTCTTTCAACACTTCTGGAATTTGGTTAAATTTGATATCTTTGAAGCCACCCTTAGTTTCTTCCAATCTGGAGCAATCTTGAGGTACTGGAACCACACTATTCTTTCTTTGATCCCTAAAGTAACTCAGCCAGAAACACTTTCACAATTTAGGCCAATCAGCCTATGCTGTGTGATCTACAAGGTTTTATCAAAGGTTCTAGCTCAAAGACTTATGATTTGTCTGCAAGAGTTGCATCAGTTCGCACCAGTCAGCCTTTGTGAATGGGAGGCAGCTTATGGACAACATCATAATCGCACAAGAGGCCTACCATTTCCTAAACAGACACTCCACAGGAAAGAATTTCTTCATGTCTTTGAAACTAGACCTTATGAAGGCTTTTGACAAACTTGAATGGCCTATCATTTAGAGAATTATGCTTCAAATGGGCTTTCAACCTGACTTTGTCAAACTGATCATGGTATGTGTTTCAACTACTACAATGTCCTTCAAAGTTAATGGTAAGATCGGTGGCCATATCACTCCATCCAGTGGCATAAGGCAGGGGGACCCACTGTCCCCCTACTTATTCATAATTGTTGCAGAGTTGTTATCTGCCCTCATTTCAAATGCTCAATTCTAAGGTTGTCTTCAAGGACTCAAACTTTCAAGCAATGGTCCTGCCATCACCCACCTTTTATTTACAGATGACTCCCTGCTTTTCTGCAAAGCTGGAGTGGATCAAGCAAACCAACTTATATCCATCCTGAACAAGTACAGAATGTTCACTAGGAAGAAAGTCAATCTTCAGAAATTAGAGATTTACATTAGCAGAAATACTCCTCAAAGTTTGAGAGATAGTATATGTGGAATGCTGCAGGGTATTGTTCCTCATAATTCATCAAGATATCTTGGGTTGCCATTGGGGATTGGAAGATCAAAGAAGGAAGTTTTTGACTTTATCCTATCCTCTATCAGAAACAAATTGCAGGGATGGAAAAATAAGCTTCTCTCACCAGCTGGTAAAGAGGTACTGGTCAGATCTATTATCCAGGCT